TGCTCTTGGTGTAAATCGAACACATTTGTGGAGTCGTTTAAATATGTTGAATTTTAAATATATTGGATTTTAAACTGTCATACAATTTTTTTCATCGATAGTCTGTAATTAGAACCATAACTCTTATTTATTCAAATTGTATTAATATGTAAAGATCAAATGTAACCTATATCATTGTTAAATCTTGTCTTATAAAACCAGTGAAACTTCAAAATCGTTAAAATTCATGGCTCCCACCGCATTGCGCGGTACACAACTAGTATATATATATATATATAGACTTGATCATTTGAGAACTCCAAAATTTGTAAGATTCATGAGAACTTCTACCATAAGTTTTTGTTTCACATAATATTTTACTTTCTAAATATAGTACTTATGTATTGATCAATGTATATTTGTTTCACAATGTGTTTATTTCATATGTCTTCGGTTCACAATGTGAAACTTTTTACGTGTATTTTTTGTTTTACAAACATGTAATTAATATACATTAATCAATATTCTAAATCCTAGTCTTAGATGGAAAAAGATCATATGAAACAACACATGATGCCTAAGTTTTCAAGGTTATCACAATTTAATGGGTTCTCAAAAGAATACTCTCCTATATAAAGATATAGATATATATATATATATATATATATATATATATATAGGGGAAGGATAAAATGTAAACCAAGTTATTTGTACAAACAGTGAAACCGTCGTTTTCATTGTTTATTTTACTGAAATTTTTTCACGGGATCGTTTAATATGATGAAAATGTTTCACATATTTTTGTTTCTATGTAAAAATTAAATTGTTTTATGTATTTCTCATTTTGATGAAATTTGTTTACTAAAAATAATAGAATGAATATGATAATGTCCATAATTATTTGAAACAATTTCATGAAAAAATTTCACTAGGGGGACAAAGGAGAACGTGACACGTGTCTCCGCGTCCACATTTCGTATAAATAACAGAGGGCATTCAATATGAATAATGAAAGTTAACGTTCATATTGAATGATACAACATTCATGAAGAATAATACCCGATTATGATACATGCAAAATTGATTCATTATTGTTATTAGTATTTCTAATATAAAATAACAAAAAGACCAAAATACTCGTTACTGGATAGAATTACTTTAAAAGAGAGAAAGCAATTCTCAAAGACGAGGGATAAACATTATAAACAACAAAGTGCAGGAACGGAAATTACTCTTAAAGTTTTTTAACCGCATGTTGCGGAGTAGCGATAATATCATCTTCAAAAAGAATGTTATAGACTAAAATTTGACACAAAGACATCCAATTCACCTTTTTATACACTTTACTTTATATTTCTCTTATATACTTATTTTCCTCATTGACGTATAAATTTCTAATCAATATGGATACCCAAAATCCAACCGCAATGCAATTAATTTAAATTATTTGGTTTTAATGATGCCACCTTATTCTTTTATAGCTTTCTTTTGTATTGATATATTGATTTTTTTTATATAGACAATTTTTTTTGCAAATAGAGGGTTCGTCAAAATGAACAAACCCGATGAGTTCAGAGAGTTAGCCAACATGAACCATTGATATGAGTTTATAGAATTAGACAAGAGAACCCAACCCCTTGAGTTAGAATAAAGACACATCAACCTCTTCTTATATACCTACCATCAATTGTCGATCTTTCATCTCTTCATCAATGTGGGATACACAAACTCAACCTCAATGCAAGAAATATATAATACTCAATCCTTAGGGGTGACACATTATTTCTTGTGAATCTTACTTATATATAGAGAGACCCCTATATATATAAAGATTTTTTTTATAAAGATAACTTCTTTGCAAAAAAAGGGCCGGCCAAAATAAACCAATCCCAAGAGTTTGGAAGGTTAGCCACTAAGTTAATGATATGAGTTTATAGGATTGGTCAAGAGAATCAAACCATATGAGTTAAAACAAAGACACATCAACCTCATCTTATATACTTACAATCAATTGTCAATCTTTCATCCCTCCATCAATGTGGGATACAATACTCAATCTCTATGCAATAAAATATAGAATACTTAATTCTTAGGGTGCCACATCATTTCTTGTGGATCTTACTTTTATATATAAAGAAGATTGATACATATACACACACACACACACATATATATATATATATACACATATATATTGATGACTGTAAACACAATTTATTTTTATATAATAAGATTTGTTTTGCAAAAGAGAGTCATCAAAATAAGCTAATTTTATAAGTTAAGCCTCTTGAGTTGATGCAATGAATATCATCTTTTTTTATACACATCTATTTATTTCAATGTTCAATCTTTCATCAAAATGGGATATCTCAAACTCAACTACAATTCACCAACACTTCATACTTAATTCTCATGTTGCACTTAATTATCTCTTGGTTTTTCTTTTAATATATATATATATATATATATATATATAATATTTGCTTTGAAAAAATAAGGTCATCCAAATAAGATAACCTTATGACTCAAACCTCATGAGTTGACACAATATAGGATTTGTTTTAAAAATATAGGGTCATTCAAATAAAATAGCCTTATGAGTCAAGTCTCATGAGTTGAACCAATGACTCTCATCATTTATTCTTATACACACCTTCTTATTTCAATCTTTCAACAATGTGGGATACCTCAAACTCAACTACAATTCATCAATACCTCACTACTCAATTCTCATGATGCCACCTATATATATATTATGCCGTTTTTTGCAGGAAATATTTACAGATGAGTGCATCACGAAAAATAAACAACAATTTGGATACACGGATGAATATTATTTACAAATGATTGTAATTCTTTGTTCAGTTAAGAAGTTCAAGTTTTGTAACAAGCTCTGAGTATATGGTTTCAGAACCCCAATACGTGTGTAATTATTTTTTATTCGATCTTGTTAATACACCGTATTAACTTTTAACTTTATATATTAGTTGACTTACAAAATAAACATACAAACTAATGATCAAACACCAAAGTTTCAAAATTCTTGATTCACCCGTCGGACGGGTACGCCACTGGTTACTTTATATGAGCCTAACCCCTTAATGATTTTTAAAGAGGTGATGGCCTAACCTAACACGAGTAGTGGATGGTTTGATGGCGTTATGAAAACGACAAAGAAGAAGGGAAGAGGAAAGGGTAAAGAAAGAAACGTTCAAAGATTGACTTCAATTATGCCGCTTCACTGCCGAATATGTTGTTCTTGCTTTCCTAATAAAACAACACCATTATTGGTTAACCCACCTGCCTTCGCCTTATGATCATCAATTGTTTCTTCTAAACAAGCAATTTGGATTGGATTCAATCCAGTGTGGAAAAATGGCGACAGCAGCCTTCAAATCGAACTCCAAAAGAAGCAATGGCTCTGGGGTCGGAGATTCCCCTAAAAACAATCCTCATAACCCTAACCCTCAAAAACAAAGATTGCGAAGGTCTTTGAGTGTCAGCGCTCTCTCCCGATCAACACAAATCGACATATCTTCTGAATTCTTGAACAAAAGAGACAATCCTCTTTACTGGGCTACCGGCGGTTCACCTGCTGACAACACTACTGAATCTTCGGCAACCAGTGCTGTTGTTGCCGGCGGTGGTGCATTGGAGCCGGGAACTTCGAAGAGTTCGAATGTGGCGGTGGGTCAGAGAGGTCGACTGGTTAAACGGAATTCAGATTTGAGAAATGGTGGTCAAAAGGAGGAGATTGTTGGTCGGAGAAGGAGTTTGTCTAGGGTGAATGATAACGGTGTTGGCAATGGCAATGGCAATGACCGGCGGGGTCGGTCAGTTTCCAGGGCTAGATTAGCTTCTGGTGCTTCTGAGGTTGAGAATACTTTCTTTACTTCATTAATTACAACTGCATTCTGCTTATTCATTTGGAGAATCTGTTGGTGACTTTGATGAAGCAAATACTATATAAATTTGTTAAATCTAAGGGGGTGTTTGGGATTGCTTATTTAAAGTGCTTATTGACTTAAAGGGGGTCATTTCTAGCAGAAATCATGCAGTCTCAACATAGAAGAAGTAAATTTGAATTTAAGAGCATCAAGTAGTGCTAAATTTTTTGGTATATATGCAACTTCCAATAATTTAGCTAAATCATCCTTAATAGGGTCATTAAGAAGAGCAAGAATCTATTATTTCTTCAACTTATATTGGTATTTTTCTCTGTAAAAATAGAGTGACGCCGAACAAGATTCAGGAAAATCGGTCACATATGGAGGCAGGAGTAGTTCTATTCGGGCATCTAATATTACCGGCAAGCTTCCTGTTACTAGTGTTAAAGCATTTGATAGGAGGAGTTCCCACCATCCTTCAGTTGCTTCTCCTGTGAGCATTCATGGATACATCTGTTATTTTTTTGTTACACTCAATCCATCCGTGTTTCAATTGTGTTTTCTGTAGTGACATTGCTTAATTTTATAGTTTGATTCACGAGTTTCAAACTGGGAAGATGGGATCTCTACCAGTTCTTTGTCGGAAGCTGAAGAAAAAACAATTAAAGCCGTGTTTGAGCAGATGAAGGTTAGAATTTGTATTTTTGTGGACATGAGTTATCTTATACTTCCTTGGTTTTAATATATGTTTAATTATTACACTTTTTAATAACAATTTTACCCTTGAAAACAGAGGGAGTAATGAATTTCTCCACCTCATAATTAAGGAAAGAAATGGGAAGTAGGTATTTACTTTTAAAATTGGACTGGACAACTTGTTTCGGGACGGAGGGGTTATAATGATGTTGCTTACTCAAATCCCATTTGAGGAAGTAAATGTAAACTGTGAGTTGTGAAACGAGTTTATTTGTTTGCTGTCTGACATTTGTTGTTCATTGCGTTGCAGTCATTTGACGGGGACGACTCGAGAAAAGACACGGCCTTAAGTGAAATATATGAAACTGTGAGATTGGAAGTAAGACGTGCTATTGCTGATATTCACGATGACCTTCAAGATGTGAGTTCTTAAGGCTATCATTAATGGAAAAAAACATATATTATGGTGGAATGAGGATACTCTACTTCAGCAGAAGTCAGCTATGTTTTTCTGCGCTTTTGCAATTAAGGTTTCTTTCTACACATTTGAGTTGGCAAGTGGAAAATTTATGTGGCCCCACCTAGGTAGCGAGACAGAGCTTCTGTGGCTTTGGGTTCTGCTTCTTATGTTTCTTAATGTTCTTCGTAAAGCCCCATTTACCCTCTATACCCAAGAACTTATAGGGAAATATCTGGGGGTCCTTATACATGTCTTTCTGAAGCTCATTTCATCCTACTAATAGCTTCACCAAAAGCGTTGAATTTTTTTTATCACTCTCTACTTCCATTTCTTAAGCCCACTTAGGCATCTAAGCCTACCAAAGTGTCAAATTGATATGAACTTGTATGTTGATCATGTCATGAAAATACACACACAGATATATATATATATACATATATACATATATATATATATATACATGGAGAGAGAGAGAGAGAGGAAGGAAAGTTCATTTGAGAACCGTAAAATTTATGAGTATTGTGTGAACCAATGAATACTCATGATATTTGTGATGAATTTTAATTATGAATATTCATTTGTTATCACGGCCACAGATGGAGGATATAGAGAAAATGGTTATTCCTACATCACTACTATGGTTATATGGGTATCCAAAGTACGAACGAGATGGATGTATAACCAGTTCACCATGGAAAGCGAATTTGATCCTATAGTTTTCTCACATATCTATCCCTAAATGCTCACAAATTACTAGCACGAGGGAGCATTAGATCCATATAGCAACTTGAATAGGTAAAATTTAATATGCAACTAGTTTCACTTTCCCACCTATATGCCTAACTTTATTTCGTTTTTACTTTTCTTATGAAACTTGTGTTTGTGATCCTAATCCCGATGGCAACTTGTTGCTTTTACCGTCACTAGTGACAGCCAAGAGTAGCTGTTCTTTGAAACAACTGCTTAACTCTTTGAGGTAGAGGTCAAGTCTGCGTGCATCTTACCCTCCTGAGACCCCACCTTCGTGTGGGATATACCGGGCTTGTTTGGTTTTTGGTTTGGTTTAGTGGCAGCCAAGACAGGGCCGGACTTATTATAAGCCCTAAGGTCCCGTCCACCTGCTCAACTTATTTCCATAAGTAGAGCTCTTTTTGAGGCATGAAAGGTGCACCTGAAGGGTGGTATAGGATATTAGAAAATACAAGGAACATCAACCAAAAAACCAAAAAAGTCTCGGAATCAACCAAACGACTGAAAAAGCTTTGAAATTGACCAAAGAACTTAAGAGATTCCTCAAGAAAGTGGAATTTCGGTAAAAAAACATCAGTTAACTTTGTAGGTCTTTGATCCACTTTAAAGGTGTACCCACTCGACAAATTTTTTTGTGTCCGCCATTGAGCCAAGAGTATTTCACGAAAGTAGTTGCATCCATGTGAGCAGTAAAATTTTAACTTTTCTGGTTTGTATATCTATTATATAACTTCCATACCTTTTCCGCCCCTTTATAAAGTTGTCTAATATCTCTTTCAACTTTTGGACCCTATTTTCTTTATGACGTTAGGCCATCCGGAGGAACAGTACTGCTGCCATTGCGAGTACAGATGTTACTGAAATGTCTCCCAAGTTGGTCAAACCCGAGGCTGTTGAGTTAGTGTTGGATATGAGAAGGGAATATGCCAAAGAACTTGAAGAGGTAATCTCTATATTTCCACTTTGGTTAGGCACATACTCCCTCCCTCCCAAAATAAGTGTCCACATTTCCATTTAAGTTTGTCTCAACATGAGTACTTGCTTTCCAATTCTACCCTTTTAATTATGAGATGTAGAAGTTCATTGTTAAGGGTAAGTTTGTTATTAAGTTAATTAAAGAGTGTAATAATCACACATTTTTTAAAGTGTGCCCTTTTCACCGTGCACATTTGTTTTGGAACGGAGGGAGTGATAACCAAAGCTTGGTGACAGACTACAGAATTTGTCTCGAACCATATTTATCTGGGAAATGCTAAGCACCTATAATTTTTTTTTTACTTTAGGAACAGATGCATCATATACTTTATTCATGTCGCAATTGTACTCCAATATCTCATCACATATAGTATAGTTGTAAGTATTCCTATGATCCTGTCGTCTGTCATGCGGCTGACCTGGGTATGTTCTAGCTATGGTCTTCATGGAAACAACCACTTTACTTCTTGGAGCGGAGGTAAGGCTGCATACATCCTACTCTGCCCAGACCCTATTTTGTATGCTGGGTTTAGTTAGTTGGTTTACCATTTTCAGACAAAAATTTATACGGTGACCGATTTATCCTTGCTAATTACCAGTTTAATTAGGGCATGTTTGTTAGCAGCTTAATGAGCTTAACGAGACTCGCAGCTTAATCGGTCAGCTATACATGATTGTTTGGTAGTGGCTTAATGATATAGAAAATGGCTTGTTCAGGAAGACAGGAAGCTTCTAGGGTAGAGCTTTATGCAAAAAGCCAAGTTTTTTCCAAATCTGCCCCTTCCAATTAAAAAACACGTTTCTTCCATCTATGAAAAACCTTCCTGATCTATACAGACAAATTAATTCACAAATACAGCTTTATCCATATAGGACTGGATGGAAAATAACCAAAATGCCCCACATGGTTTTAGATTTAGCATGAAAATGGGATACATGGGAAAAATGTTATTGGAAGTTGGAGCAAAATGGCCGTATATAGACGAGGTTTATATGCAGTGGCAAAACAACTATTTTGGATCATGGTAGAAAGGCCAAACAAATATTTCAGATACTAAGTTTTCTTTCTTTATGATTGTTGTTGATGTAAACTGTTTATGTTCTCTTAAATTGTTTAGTCCCAAGAACGTGCTAGAAAACTTCGATCAGATTTGGCCATTGAGGAACATCGCAGGCAGGAATTGAGCAGAATTCTCAAGGAGACACTTCCTGAACCCAAGACATCTGTTCCTCATAAGCCTCGTTTAGGAAGAAAAGTATGCTATGCTACCCTTTTTCATCGTTGTGTTCATATTTACAAGTGTTGTTTGAATTATATAGGAAGTTCGGTCTGGTTGTTTTTCTCCTTTAACATGCTTATGCGCATACACACACATGCATGCATATGTGCACGGCTCACATGCAGCTACTGCTTGCACACACGTGATACATACACATTGTGTGCGTGTCTGTGTGTATATATATATATACATGGAAAAGTTCATTTCAAAACCGTAAATATTTTGAGAACCGTGAGAACCAACCACTCCTATGAATATCATGCGTATTCATCCATGATAATCATCATGAATATCCATGATATTCATCATGAATAGTTGGTTCTCTCAGGTCTCGGTACATTTAGCATTTTCAAATTAAACTGAGGGGAGGGTAACTAACCACTCCTATGAATATCATGCGTATTCATCCATGATAATCATCATGAATATCCATGATATTCATCATGAATAGTTGGTTATCTCAAGTCTCGGTATATTTAAGGGGAGGGTTAAGGGAGAACCTAAAAGGTTGGAAAACTGGGGAACTCTCAATCACAACCGTTGGAGTAAACCGATTGACGGTTGATGGAGGGTTCCCCAGGTCACCAATTTTTTTGGTTCTCTCTTGAACCTTTATATATGTATAGGTGAGATCGGCGGAGATCCTCAAGAAAAAAAAAGCCTAAGAACCACCAAAAAAAAGATGAAAGCATATTACAATATGGATGTGAAATTGAAGATGATAAAATGATCATTTTTTGGTGTAATTTGTATCTTCCCAATTTTGGTTATATTTCACCAATTTTCGGATATATTTCACCAATTTTCGATTATATTTCACCAATTTTCTATTAAAAAAATAATTCGGGGGAGGGAGTATTTTTATTTTAAAAAATAGGTGGTTATAACCATCTTTTGAATCACATTTGTTGGATTTTTCGGTTTTTTAGAGTTTTCTCCGCATCTTTTATACACACACACATATATATATACACACATATATATATATACACATATATACACACACATATATATATACACATATATACACATATATACACATATACATCTATACACATATACATATATACACATATACATATATATATATATACATATATATATATATATATATAGAGGAGCAATCAAATGCAAACCACCCAATTTGTACAAACCGTGCAAACCACTCGTATCTGTTGATTTCATTGTTTAATCTTGTGAAATTGTTTCATATAATACTTTTTTTGATGAAGTTGTTTCATATATGGTTATGAAATTGTTTCATATAATACTTAATAAAATTTTAAAATAATGAAGATGATAATATCCATGATTAACACCCTCCACAATAAAAATGATTAATCAATCTCTCATAATTAAAAAAAAATGAACAAAATGAAAAATTATGAGTGATTGAATGAGGTTTGTACGGTTTGTATAAATAACGTGGTTTGCAAAGTAAATCTCTTCTATATATACACACACACACACATATATATACACACATATATATGCATATATATATATACATATACGTATGTAGGCGAAGGGTCGTGTGAGACAGAAAGTTATGATGAGAAGCGTAAGAAGAGACCTGAACCTTCGAGGGGAATTGATCCAGTGCACCTCATTAGTGTTAACATCCAATTAGGATTCATCCATGGTGGAGATCTCTTCTTACGCTTCTCACTATAACTTCCCTTCTTACTGGAATCCGACCCTATGTATGTATACATGTTTTGGACGTGGTTATAGTTTCATGCTTGAGCTTGTATTTCAGTTGTTCTTTTCTTTTGGTTTTGATATTTCTGTTATCTTGTTACAGAGAAGTAGTGAAAGAAAAAAGATGTCAAAACGATTGACAGATGAAGCAATGTCGTATTTTGATGAGTGTGTTTCGCTATCAACATTTGATAGTTCCGATTTCTCGGCAGCAGAAGATCCGGCTGTGAACTCAGTCAACACTACTCTCACAAAAGGGGCCACCACATCCCTACCCCACGACATCCGGTGCATTTCACCCTCTGGTCCAAACTGTTTCATCAATGAACAGGTAAAATCGCAACATTTTTGTTCTTGGATGGCCTATAATTTTTGTTTTTGCAACCCGGGAGTCTTCACGGAAACAGTCTACCCCTTGAGGTAGAAGTAAGTTCTGCATATATCCTGCCATCCTGAACCCTACCTCTTTGTGGGATATACCGGGTTTGTTTGGCATAAATAAATTTACGAGGAAATAATCATATGGAGAGGCCAAACATACACAAAATTTCTTGTACTAATAGATATCAAATCATATTTTCAGATGATTCAAGGTGACCTAGGATCTAGTTCAACGACTCGTAGTAGCTGTGATGACCTCATAACGGATAGAGTCGTTGAAACCGCTGAATGGGAAAGGAAGTCTCGCTTCTCGTTTGGACACAAACCAACGGAGGGAATAGAGCTGCAACACGACATTAAAAATTACATCAAAACTTTTGAGAAAGACACGGGAATTGATGGAATTGTGTCAGAAAGATCAAGGACTAATTATAGCATTGACGAGTATAATCTACTTGACGTCCACGAACACTTGTTGTTCGACATTGTGTTGTTTAGAAACCAACAAGAGTCCGGGAGATTGCATATCTGCAGCGGAGTTGCCGTTCCGTTTTTGCCGCTTGCTCATCTTTTTTGAAGATTGTAGATATTGGATTGTTGGTTCTTTATGTATAAAGGGTGTTTTTTTTCTCTTCTTTGTTGTTTCAGATTTACATAATACAATGTGATCTTAGAAAAGTAAGCTGAATATTGACCTGTTTATCAAACGCTAACAAGGTAAGTGCTTATTAGATAAAACTCGTCACTCTTTACTTATCTTGTTGGGTATTCTCGGCAATAAAAATGACATAGCAAGATTGTTTGTAAGAGTTAGTATGCACTAATTGTGTAAGATTCACCACCCTTACATAATAGGTGAGACTCTCGGTTTTTGCTCACTTGGTAACATAAGCGTTCGGGTAAACGCTTCTCTGGTTAGTGTTTGGTAGACGGTCCCTTGGTAGTGCAAAAGAATTGCAACCAATTGAGAGGGATCATCAGGGAAACGGTTTTTTTATACTTGTGGGTAGTGGTAAGGTTTGTATAGCTCCTCATACCCCATTTTGCGTGTTATCTATTTGGTTGGGTTTGGTTTGGTTTGTGTTTCATGTGATTTTTAGAAAGTCAATCCTGAATGCAGAATTGGGAATGGATTATCCTTTTATGTCAGAAATAATTAAATATGAAATACAAATTATTTACAAATTATTTTTCTTGATCTGAGTAATGGTATGGAATTACAAACATGTGGGTCTCGTGATAAATATTTTAAGAAAGTATTTGATCGAGTTAACATAAAACGTAATTTTTCAGTTAATAATTAATGAGATACAATTTAAAATGAACAACGAAATGAATTTGAGATGTATAGGTAACATTTTTGTTGTTATCTATACTATCTTATAAAGCAGATTTACCAAAAGTCTTAAAAACAACATTTGATGCATAAGGTACTATCTTATAATGCATAAAGTCTTAAAGTCTTAATTACAATACAATCAGCACATAGTACATCTTAATACACAATAGCAAACACTACTCTTAAAGCGACTATTCCAAAGCGGCAACATCTTAATCTTCCAAGACAGGCCTCCCTGCTTCGTTCAAATTGCGCTCCCCAAAGCGACGATTCCCGAAGCGAGCGTTTAGAAAATCGATTTCCATATTGTCCATCGCTCCTCGATCCAGGTAATCGATTCAAACTCTGATTATTTAAATGGTTAGGGTTCATTGCATCCCTCCTCGATCCAGGTAATCGGTTCAAACTATGATTATGTAAATGGTTAGGGTTCACTATCAATCCACTTATGTGTGTACATCGATTCAAAGATTCCTTAGTCCTTCATCGCTCCTCCATCCAGGTAATTTATAATTTATTTTTGTTTTCCAACATTTTCAATCTTGCTTTCATATCTATCTCCTGATTCGATTCTTCCATCACTTCTCATTTTTGTTTTGTTTTACATTTACATGTTTAATCGATGAAATGCAATATGAGCAAGAACCTTTGTGATAGATGTTGGAAATCAACATAGACCAGCACCTAAAGTGAATTCATCGACATGAATGTTGAGGGATAAAAGTTTGTTCGTATGTATTTTTTTTATGCAAATAAGGTGTTTGATAAAATGTGCGAGAGAAATTTGGGTTCTCTTTTGTAAGTGAAACTTCACCATTTTGTTCATCTTTCATTAGGTGTTTAACTTATATGGGTTCTCTTTATGCTAAAATTTGTAGTTCTTCTCGGTTAAAATGATGGAAGGTGTTGTAGCAACGTCATATGATGCAGGTAGTAAGTTATACTTCTGTTGTTGTTTCTGATTCGCAGGTTGAAGATAGATGGCTTATGGAAAACATCCAAAGAATCTTTATTCGAGACAGAACCATTGGTGGCATCGACATCATAAAAAGTTTTAAACAAGAAAAAGGAAGTATGTATAGCTACACTTGGATTTGGGTCAAGATGTGTTTTTGTTATGCACTTGTCATACTTGTGGATTTAAGTTTGCTATGGGAGATGAAGAAAATAAGAAGGCCCATGAAACTTGGGTTCAAGGTACATTTCATGTTTTGCATTACTAACGATTTTCGTTATTGAACTTTCTTATTTTGTGGGCTCATTTTCATTATGTGATGGTAATAAAAAAACAAATAAGTTTTTCTATTTACTTGATCTGAGATCAATTTGGACAAACAAAATGAAGAACTAAGAATGGGGAAAACTTATCTAAACACATGGATTACTCATTTTCTGTCTTTAGTTTTTTGGATGTAGCCTTTACTCATTCATCATTCGTGGATTTTAAGTTGGCTTAATGAAAAAGTTGTTGGTATATGCCCATTAAGAAAAGAGGGGCATGTTATGTCGGTACTGAATGGTGATACTCTTGCTCATATTAAAAAGGTATAATAAACGTTTTTTTTAAATATACAATCTTTTCTTTAATATTAACAAAATTAGTTTAGACCATTCTTCTATTCTCTTCCAAGTGAAATTATAATGGCAGGTGTAGGAGTTTATTGGGATGATGGAGATGGAACTTGGTGATGGATGGATTTTCCATAAACACAGTAAGTGAAATTGTAGTGATCTCATTTCTTCATTTTTCCATATTGGGTGCTTTTCATGTGACATATTGTAACCATTGGTACAATTTATCTATATTTATACTACCTTATAAACGACAGGATCCTTATGCTGGTGCTTTTCTTGTAAAAGATGACCTAGGATCTGAGGCCATAGGTTCAGATACAGAGAAAAGCATATATGAGCTCAAGGGCAAATAGTTGTTTAATCGTCTCCATAAAGTTGGTACACGGGCTCAGGTATCTGTTGTGATGCAACTGTTAAGTAATTATGGTAAACTTGTTGAGCTTCTATATATTTTGTACTACATGTAATCAACTTTTAATCATTTTAAGAAGATTACAAGTATCCAAGGAGACTGGGTTGGTCTTATTGGTCATAGGCGGTTACGGATAACAGAAATGGTGAGTGGAGGCTTCATTTCTATTTTTCTGCTAGTTAATTGCGTACTAGCACTCTATGTGATGCTATAGTTTACCTCATTTTGATTATTTATTTCTCTGGACAGGTCAGTGACGATCCCCTTACGGTCCGCATGGATCATCCCAAGGTATCATCCACTCATATCCTAAAAGATTTAGGGGTCGTTTACCTAAACACTTACCCGGTAAGCACTTATCGATAAAATTCAACACAATCGCTTACTTACTGGGTAAGATTTTATTCACTAAAATGCATCGTATGCAACAATTTATCCCGGTAAGCCCTAACCATGGTAAGAGTCGTCATCATCACTTACCAGGTAAGACTCTCGATTCTTGCCCTGGCTCTTATCGGGTAAGATTCTTAGTCCTTGCCATATTCATCCGGTAAAGTAAAGTGACTTGGTAAGTGCTTACTCGAGTAAGCATTTGGTAAACGGCACCTTAGAGATGCAATATATAGGAACTAGGATGGAATCTACTTTCATTAATACCATACTCTTTGATAAAACAGTGCTTGTATAAGGATTTTCTCTGTATTACTGGATTCAATGTTTAACAAGGATGATGATGTCATAGAGGCAGGACCATTTGAGGTCATAACAACCCTAAGAGATGTTCTGAAGACAAATTCTCTTTGGAGGGATCATGTTCAAACATACAATCAAGTTTAGCTGTTTTTCTGTTTGCATATAATGAGTGTTTAGCTGGAAAATTGTCATATTTGCACCTGCTTCATAAATTACCTAGCTCATTAAGAACAATAACCATATTGTTAAACTTAGTGCTGTTTACCTAAACACTTACCTGGTAAGCGCTTAACGGTAAAATTCAACTCGATCGCTTACTTGCCGGGTAAGATTTTAGTCTACAAAAACGACATCATATGCAATAATTCACCCGTAAGCGTTATACACGGTAAGAGTTGTCGTCATTACTTACTAGGTACGACTCTCAATCCTTGTCTTTCGCTCTTTTGGTCCTTGCTATATTCATCCGGTAAGGGAATGTGACTTGATAAGCACTTACTCGAGTAAGCATTTGATAAACGGCCCCTAATACATACACACACAATATATATACATACACACACAATATATATATATATATATATATATATCTGTGATAATTCTGCATTTTGGAATTTCAGGTTAGTACCTCATTTTAGGACCTTTATTGAAAACTAAGTCTTTCTAGGATTTAGCTTCGATGATCTRHRATCATCTTGMTYATCTYCCAAGATTAGTTTGTTAGGTCACGTTTCGGCGGGTAGCTAACCAAGTTAGTTCTTGCAATGCCAAATAGTCTTGAAATATTTCACATAAAAATAAAGCTGATAT